TAGATTCTGAAATAGTAGCTAATACTTTATTGTCCTCATGAATCGTAAATGATGGCTCTTCCTAGCTAGAAAAGGAAAACAAAGCTATTATCTTGTCCGGATCAATCCTTTTTTTTCTTCCCTTTATATTTTGAATCTTTAACAAAAAAGACCGATTTCTTTCATTATGCTATTCGAAATTTGAAAAATAGTTCGCCATAACATGCAAAATAAAAATAAAAATGGCCCGAGCAGGGATTACATACTATAACGCGGATAGTTGAAGATGGAGAATGAGACGTTCTGTATCCTAATACGAAGAGGCTAGTAAGTAAGAAAGCTTGAGAGTGGTAATTCTCAAATTCTAACTTCTGTAAATGATATATGTTAAATAAAAATAATATACGTATATAAAAAAAGGGCAGCCCAGTCCGAGGAATGGCCAAACTGTTAAGATTAGAACCTTTGTAATTATTTAGCTAGGAGCCACATCGCTAGGATTGGTTGTGGCTACTTCTGCAATTAGTTAGTTAGGTTGTTAGTGCTAGATTTGTAAGTGGCTATTTCTGCAAGTAGTTAATTACATTGTTAGTTAGTGTCAGTGATTTGTATATATATAGAGGCACTATCATTTCCTAATTCAATTCAATGAGAATGTTTACTCTCATACCAGAGATTCTCGAACCTTCTTCTTCTTCTTCTTCTTTCTCACTCTGAGCTTCATGGCATGCAGCCATGGCAGTTGAATTTTGTCATGGTATCAGAGCAAGGCTTTATCTACTGAGGTAACTTGCGATCTCTTGTCTCGTTTTCTCTTCAATTCACAATTGAAGTTCTAGGTCTTTCTCGAAATCGTCAATCATTTTTTTTTGTGTGAAATCCTGTTCGAAATTGCATTTTCACTGTGACCTCGTTTGATTGCAACAAGTCATAGCATTTTTAAGTGTTCTCGAAGGTTTCTTTGTTGGGTTTTCATTTCCGTCTTCGATTTACGGTTTGATCAATCGAGATCTGTAGCTTAAGTAATGGCTGGAGATACTGTAAACAAAGACATTTTAGATACTTCAAGTCCCCTGTACATGCATCCGTCGGAGAGTGCAGACTATGTTAGTTCCTATAGCTTTTGATGGCACAGGATATAGATCATGGAAGAGAGGTGTACTTAGAGCCCTCTCAGTGAAGAATAAGGTTGGCTTCATAACAGGGAAGTGTCAGAAACCAGTAATTGGACATGCAACTTTTGATCAGTGGGAACGATGTGATGATATGGTGACTTCGTGGATTCTGAATTCTCTTTCAAAAGACCTAACGGACAATTTACAATATGTGAATGATGCACATGAGTTGTAGTAGGAACTAGAAGATAGGTATGATCAAACAAATGGTGCAAAACTCTATCAACTCCAGAAAGAAATCAATGATCTAAGTCAAGGAACTCTGGATATAACAGGCTATTACACTAAGATGAAGAAATTGTGGGAAGAGTTAAATGCATTGAATGCACATACACAGTGCAGCTGCCAATGCATCTGTGGTGCTAAAGCTAGTATACAGAAAGCTGAGCAAGATATAAGATTGATACGGTTTTTGATGGGGTTAAATGAGGTGTATACTGTTGTAAGAAGGAGTATACTGATGATGAATCCTCTTCCAAGCATTGCACAAGCCTTCTCTATTCTCATACAAGAAGAGAAGCAAAGAGAAGTTGGACCACACAACCAACAGTTGGTAATTGAGTTTGCATCATTGAATGCCAATGGCCCAGGAAATAACAGTTTAGAACCAATTATAATCAACGCATGAGTACTTCTTCTGGGAACAACAGCTATGGAAGAGGTTATATGGGAAATACACCTAGGCCGTTCTGTGATTTCTGCAAGAGACCAGGGCACACCAAGGACAAGTGTTACAAAATTCATGGTTATCCACAAAACATGAAGTACAACAACAATGGTAATAGGGGAAGAAAAATGGCAGCAAATGTGTTTGACACAACTGACAATGGAACAACTATGACGGATGAAGGGGGAAATCCTCAAGAGCAAGGTAGAACCATGCAGCAACTAACCAAGGAACAATATGGGCAACTGCCGAGCATATTTGAAAGCTTCAAGAGTGGAAATAATGAAGACAACTCAGGAAACATCAATATGACTGGTGGTGCTGTTAACTTTGCAGGTATGACTGATTATAGCACTTCTGTTGATCCTAGTAAACAGTCTTATGAAAGCTCTAAAGAGAATGTTGATTCCTGGATCCTTGACTCAGGATCCACTAACCATATGACTTATAACAAAGCCTCTTTGAGTAACATCAAAACTCTTGTTTATCCTTTCCTAGTCTCTTTGCCAAATGGACATAAAGTAAAAGTGACAATAGTTGGAGATGTCATTCTCAGTCCTCAATTTACCTTGTAAAGAGTCTTATATGTACCTAGTTTCAAGTTCAATCTGATCTTTGTACACTCACTGACAGTTCAACTTGATTGCATCATTATATTCACTAAGTTTTCATATATCCTTCTACAGGGCCTTTCACTGAGGAGGCCTCTGGAGATTGGTAAAGTCAGAGACAGCCTCTACCTTCACTATTCAAATTCAGGAAAGAACAATTCTTCTTCTATCATACCACACGCACACACAGATCTGCACCTAGTGCATCCATCTCAGGTAGTCATAGTACCAATAATGTACAATGTCAGCACCATCTTGTAATTCTGCACCTAGTGCATCCATTCCTTCTCATGTTTGTGACGATAGAAGTGTACAAGTTCCTTTGAATTCCAATAAAAGTTCTTATGACAAAATAGATTCCGTGTGCAGTGCATATAGACCCGGTGACAATCATGTCGATATCTTGTGGCATAACAGGCTAGGCCATGTACCTTTTATCAAGATGAAGGGTATCAATTCCATACCTATAGCCTTTGCAAACTAACAACCTTTTCTGTGTTCTATTTGTCCTATGGCCAGGCAGAATAGGTCTCCATTCCAAGAAAGAACCACTTCTACCACCAAAGTATTTGAACTCCTTCATGTAGATATGTGGGGCCCTTATCATGCACCAACTCATGACAGTCACAGATATTTCATCACCCTAGTTGATGACTATAGCATATGTACTTGGACTCATCTCTTGACTAGTAAAAGTAATGCCCTGCATGTCATAAATCCTTCTGTGCAATGGTCCAAAACCATTTCAATACCTCAATAAAGACCATCAGAACTGATAATGGTCTGGAGTTTGTGAACACTGAAACAACCATGTTTTTCCAAGCCAAAGGGATCTTGCACCAGAAAACTTGTCCTTATAGCCCTCAACAGAAGGGTATAGTCGAAAGAAAACATAAGTACCTCCTTGAAACCGCAAGGGCATTGTTGTACCAGTCCAAACTGCCTATAAGATACTGGGGAGAGTGCATCCTAACTTCTACCTATCTGATCAACAGATTGCCATCCTCATCCCTTAAAGAGAAATGTCCTTTTGAGGTTCTATACAAGAAGAAACCAAACTATTCACACCTTAGGAGTTTTGGACGTTTATGCTTTCCTACAAACCTAAAACCTCACAAAGATAAATTTGAACCAAGATCAACTCCATATATTTTCATAGGATACCCTTTTGGATCAAAGGGATACAAGGTTCTTAGCTTAGCCACAAAGAAAATTCATGTATCTAGAGATGTGACTTTTCATGAAACAATCTTCCTATTTGCATTGCATGGAAACCACACTGATTTAGCATCTAAATATGAAAATTTATATTTTCCCTCTCCTCACATAGGTCCAAGTATGAGTCATTTTGATATTGTTAGTCCTAGTGTCACTAGTAACAGCGAGAATCCACAGCAACAGCTAATGTCACATGAACTTTCATTTGGCAATGATACTAATCCTATCACTCATGAATCTGGTTCACCAGGATACCAAAGTTCTCCCACTTCAAATGGAACCTCCAAAACATCACCTGAGCCTAGTTTTCACCCACAGGATCAACTACAATCCCTCTCGGATAATTCACCAAACTCAACATATTCTGAGCAGACTACAATCCTAACTCACAATAGACCCCAAAGAAAATGGAAACCTCCAAGTTATTTGAAAGATTACATTTGCAATGTGCCCACTCTCAATACCAGTGCTGGAGAACAGGTTACAGAAATTGATCATAGCTCACCCTCACAATCCTTTTCCTTTCATACACATGTACCTTATTTGCAACCTATATCCTTGAATGCTCTAAGTGGCAGCAGTCAGCATTTGATTGAAAAGCTTTCTATTGACTGTGAACCTGAATCATATGAAGAAGCAGCAGCTATACCTGCTTGGCAACAGGCCATGAACCAAGTTTGATGCAATCTATTCTAATACCTGTAGGAAAGAAAGCAATAGGCTGTAAATGGGTATATAAAATCAAACATAAGGCAGATGGAAGTGTTGAAAGCTCGACTAGTTGTCAAGGGTTACACTCAACAAGCAGGAATTGACTACACTAAGACCTTCTCTCCAGTAGTGAAGATGACCACTGTGAGAGCATTAGTTAGTATTGCAGTAAACACGAATTGGGAAGTTTTTCAACTTATGTGAACAACACTTTTCTGCATGGAGACCTAAATGAAGAAGTGTACATGCAAGTCCCACCAGGACTATTAGTAAAAAAACAAAACTTGGTGTGTAAGCTAAACAAATCTTTATATGATTTGAAACAAGCAAGTAAGCAGTAGTATGCTAAGTTGACAGAGACCTTATGCTATAAAGGAAATGTGCATTCTATGCTAGACTATTCTCTCTTCTATAAGAAGGAAGGGAAGTCAGTTATCTTTGTAGCAGTATATGTGGATGATGTTCTATTGAGAGGAACAAATTTGAAATAAATCAAGGCATTGAAGTCATACCTACACGAGACTTTCAAAATAAAGGATCTAGGAAGAAATACTATACAAGCATGATGGAGCAATAATCACACAAAGGAAGTTCACAACTGATCTGATAAAGGAGTTTGAGTGCTCACACTGCACTCCCATGGCCTCTCCACTTGATCCTTCAACAAAGTTGAAAGCCACTGAAGGTAACTTACTCACAGACCCCACTCAATACAGAAAGCTAGTGGGAAAACTGAACTTCCTCACCAACACACGACTTGATATTGCCTACAGTGTCCAACATCTCAGCCAGTACATGCAAAGTCATCGAGATTCTCATCTCAAAGCTGCCATGCATGTACTCAGATGTTTGAAAGGTGATCCTGGTATGGGGATTTTTCTATCGAACAGTGGAGATTACAGACTAAGATTTTGTTGTGACTCAGATTAGACAGCTTGCCCTGAGACTAGAAAATCAGTTAGCGGTTATATTATATTACTTGGAGACAATCCAATTAGTTGGAAATCAAAGAAACAGTCCACTGTGTCACTAAGCTCTGAAGAGGCAGAGTACAGGTCTGCAAGAAAGGTAGTTGCAGAGCTTGTTTGGTTATCTAAACTTTTGGAGGAACTAACTATACACTTGAGTCTTCCCATTCCAGTATACTGTGATAATCAAGCAGTTCCTGCACATCGCCAGAAACTCAGTGTTTCATGAATGAACAAAACACATAGAGGTCGATTGCTATTTTGTAAGGGATAAGGTCATGGAAGGATCAATCTCTCTACAATATGTCCATACAGACAACCAGCTTGCAGATATACGCACCAAATCCCTAACAAGCATCAAACATTCGTCACTTCACAAGTTGGAAATGAGTACCTCCCTTCCAACTTGAGGGGAGGTGTTAAGATTAGAACCTTTGTTATTATTTAACTAGGAGCATATCGCTAGGATTGGCTGTGGCTACTTCTGCAATTAGTTAGTTAGGATGTTAGTGCTAGATTTGTAAGTGGCAATTTGTGCAAGTAGTTAGTTACATTGTTAGTTAGTGTCAGTGATTTGTATATGTATAGGGGCACTATCATTTCCTAATTCAATTCAATGAAAATGTTTACTCTCATTCCAGTGATTCTCGAACCTCCTTCTTCTTCTTCTTCTTCTTTCTCCCTCTGGTACCCTGCATTTCTACAAGAGGCTGTTTCCACGTCTTGAACCCGTGACCTCCTGGTCACATGGCAGTAACTTTACCAGTTACGCCAAGGCTCCCCTTCTATTTACGTATATATAATTATATTAAAATATTAAATATTTTGATTTTTTCAATTTCTATTTTTCTAAATCCCAAATCAAGAAACTCAAGTTTTTATTTCTCAATCTGGCCATACCAAAAAACTAATCAAAATTAAAATCGGTTTGGTTCTGTTTGAATTTTCGATTTAATCAAAATAATGCACACTCATAGCGGATACGATTATTGCTCGAAGTTTATTAGCTAAATTTCGATATATAATGTTATACACATAGAGAGTTTTGAGAGAAATTAGCTCCTCCTTTTTATAATTTGTATCTTGCAGTTGAATCTCTTTAGTCAAAAAAATTTATTGTACAAATAGGGTAAAAATTACATGTATCCTTCTTCAAAAGAACTTCAAATAGTTATTGGGATTCTTGGCTCCACCATTAATGTATCTAGCCCATCAGCATTTTCCTAATTCTTTTTCTGTTTTTTGATCAATAAGAACCAACCACTTTTTCGTGGTTTTAATTTGAAAAAGAAAACAGTAAGCGCATTTTAGTTGGCTAGGCGCAACCTTAGCTATATTACGATAACGTGCAAATTAAAAGGCAGTTCATGGATTTAAAATTTCAAACGAAAAAGATGGAACATTAGCATAGACCAGAACTTGAGGTAAAAAACTAAAAAGGAAATATATTTCCGTAACGGTTCACGCAATTAAACTTAATTCGAGTGAGGATATGGTAGTTAGATACTTTCGATTTAGCGCGTTCGAATTGTGTGTGTTAAGTGGTTAAATCTTACGCATGTTTTACACGAATAGCACATATTTTTAATTATTTATGACGAGAAAATACTACAAGAAAGAGAAGAAAACTTCCAGGAAATTTCAGATCAGTAGTTTGGCTGGCTGGCACCTATATATCCTTTTGACTTGCACGTATCCATTCAATTATTTCATTGATATATAGCACATTCAACTCCATTCTATTGTTATGTATGGAGTCACCCTTACATTTTTCATTTGAAAATGTGAACTTTGAATTCCTTTTTATTTCTTTTAAGTTTTCCAATACTTAGAAAACTTTTTTTAATATTCCATCCGGTCCACTTTAAGTGATTTTTTGGTTTTTTCACACATATTAAAAAAAAAAATTATTCTTTTAGCATTAACTAACAATGTAATTGACCATATTAACCTTATTTTGTTTATTGAAAATACAACAAATACTCCTAGGCTCTTTACTCCAAGGTCAACTTTGAAAAAAAGAAGTTAATTCTTTCTTGATATTTGTATTATGTACCACAAAAAAAGTCAAAAAATCACTTAAAGTAGACCGGAGGGAGTACTAACTAACTCTATAAAGAGTACTTAAAAAACTATTACAGCCAAGCACACACCTTTTTTCTAAAAGAAACTACAAATAATTTCTGCAAAAGAATGTTCAAACGACCAAATCAACCTTCAGATTTTTTGTCTCTAAATTCCTTTTCTCTCTTAATCTTCACGCCGTTAACACAACGTAATATATTAATGTCCATGTTGTGCCTGATCCTGAAAATAATACTCATACCACAAAAGAAATCTTACAGCAACATCAACAGCTGTGAGCCTAAGACAATCCCGTAAAATTCTAAGACCTTAAACTGGATCTTTTTTTAATTAAAAGAAGGAATTATCTTTCTATATTATATTACAAGGCGATATATTTAAATACTAGAAAAGGTAAATTTCCCATTCAGAATTGGAAACGGGAAAGAGATTCCTTAAGCGCATTGATTGATATAATGTAAATTAATTTGGTGTTAATTGGTGCATGGATTCTTCACATGGCTATATTATTTTGCCTAAAAAAATTAGAGTCAATCATTCAATAATGATGCCATTCTTGCCTGCTGATAAGAACGAAAAGGTAATCATAACATTTACGTGGCCATAAGGGTGGGTGGTCGTAGAGTATAAAAGTGTTATCACAAGAATAATTGATGCAACAATACAATTTAATCCAATATTTATTAACATAGTTTCTGTTTTTTAAGGTTATGCACTTTTATAAATAAAAAAAATTAGTAATTTTAATTATAATAATATTTGTTAATATTTATCTTTTTTTAATTGTCTCACTTGATTAATACTTAACTAAAGTAGTGAAAAAAAAATAAAAAGAGTAATCAATAATATTTTTATTTTATTATAAAATAAAACAAATAAGTTTAAAATAATACTATAGTTTTAAATAGTCACTATTGATCCATAGTCCCTCCGGTCCACTTTAAGTGATTTTTTTGCTCTTTTCCACGTATTAGAAAATTTACCTTTTAGCATTAATTAACAGTGAAATTGACCATATTAATCTTAATTTGCTCATTGAAAACATAACAAAGTACTTCTAGACTCTTTATTGCAAGAGCAATTTTGAAAAGAAGAAGTTAATTTTTTCTTAATATTGAAAAAATTTAAATATTGTGGAGTACAAAAAAAATCAAAAAATCACTCAAAGTGTACCGGAGGAAGTATTGTTTGTCCGCGGCTCTTATGTTCTTAGGAAAACTCAAATTCAAGAAAGAAACAATTTCTTACTTATTGCAAATAATGATTTCAACTACAGTTTATGTCAAAGCAGAACTAATTGGACTGAGAGAGAGAGTTCAAACACGGAGCTTTAGGCTCACGTGAAATCGCTACTCGAATTGAACAATGCAATGAAAAGCGAGACAGAGAAAGTGGAATTCCAAAATCTCCCCACTATCTTTTTAATTATTCTTTTTGGACTCATCTATTTTTATTGAATTATGAGCAGCAGCTGATTAATATAATTATTATATCTAACCACAAGTACAAATACAATCATCTATTTTTATTGAATATGGGCAGTAGTTGGTTAATAAAATTATTTTATTCTTTCCATATCAAATCATTCTTTATTTTGTTTTATTTCAGTTTATAAAAAAAAAAATTCCCCCTCAATGCGTTCTTGGTCGAGCTCGTACAAGGCTTTCCTAGTGCATTTTACATCCCCTATGTGATTTGCAGGCTATTATATAGTGGGATATTTTTACAGTGTGCTCACCCGAATGGCAGAGGTAGAGACTGTAGCGAAGGCCGGTTTTCCTGGGGTTTCAAAAAAAATAAAAATAAAATGCGTATATATATTCATTGCGAACACGTTATGAACTCGTAAGAAAAGCCAAATCTGATTAAATTATTTATTTGCAATAATACAAACCATTTTAAAGTAGGACCCACACTTATGAGTCCTCCTATTACAAATTACGAGAACTTGGTAATCAAAGCCCCACAATTGCCATATGATATTTTGCTCATTGGGGATTTCAACAATTGTCCATTCTTTGTCAAAGCGTAACGCTAAGGCACCACACCACGCCCTTAGCTCTTCTCTCCCCCAATTTGTCTCTTCTAATTCTCACTTTTACTTCACTCTCTGTATTTTTCCTTCTCAGGAAAAGTATTTGGCGATGAATTAAAGGGTGTTTGGCGTTAGTAATGGGTTCGTGTGCTTCAGTGCATAAAGATCCAAAATCAGCGATGAAGTTCCGTCTTGTTTTTGCCTCTAAAAATGATAAGCTTGTGAGTCCATCGCCACTCAAAGATAAACCCCTTGAGATTGAGAATGGTGATATCAAACTCCCTGATCCTCAACTCAAACCTCAACGTTCACCGGTCGTGCCAGTAACCAGTTTTAGCGACTATGGTACGATCTTCTTGCTTTACCCTTTCGTTTTTGTCTCAATTGTTTTTTGGCTTTTTTTGGTGGTGTATGCGCGGTCTTCTTTGACGTTGATTCACTTTCTGTTAACCGGCTTTTTCTCGGGTTTCTGTTTGAAAAATGGGGATGTTGCTGCTTTTCCAGTTAAACTCAACATGTTTTTCAAGTTTAAGTTTTCTGCAAGTCTGATGTTATGCTAGTTTCTTAAGTTTGTTATATAATTGTTAGGCTGATATTTCTATGTTTGAGAAAAATATAGAGATGTTCTATTTGATCTGATTGACATGATGCTCATGATTATGTTTCAAATTATTCGCTAATGAAACCGAGATTTAACTGTTTTTATAAAAAACAGTTAAAGTTTGTGGCTTGAAAATTACAATTTTAATATGTTTTCCCCCTTTTCTTTTTGGTATTAGCTGTCCATTTTTTATTTTTTGCAATTAGGAAAGATTGACTAACGAGTTATTGTCTTGTGCAATGCCAAAGTTCTTTATTAATTGGGCCATCTGCAGCACATGTAGTCATGGCACCGCACTACTATTATTTTTATTTTGCTGGAGACAATCTCTCATAGAACAACTTAAAACCTCACCTAACTAATTTAAGGAAAACAAAAACATCCTGTAACTTAATATGAATAATTCAATTGCAGAATCATTCTCAATATTCTTTATACTTTATGAAGATGGGGTTGTCGTCAATTTTGAAAAAACAGGTACAGGAACAATGAGTTGCACGTCTGATTT